CCAGTGGGTGAGTCTTATTATGTAGGTAGTGCGCGGTAGTACATTAAGATTATAGATTATTGTATTTTGTTGTCAATACAGCCTACATCACTGCAATATGTTTGCACGCCGCTAGTAATGCTGTGGTTATACACGGTCTTGTCTATAAGGTCTATGATGATACATTGACTGTAGAATGTAGAATAGATAATAATATTATGGTTTCATGTCGAGGTATGAGTATTGAAACGGCATTCAACATTTATGAAAAAGTTACATACCTATTATACCTAACTGTCCTAACTCATGAAAACATCGAGTATATCATTATATTGGGTATATTCACGATAATTTACGTAGAAAATTACAAGGCCAGGCGCCAGCTGTTATGTAGCATTTAACAATAGATTATTGCGAACTAAATAAATAAGTAATACCTACCTATTCAATATTTTTAACAATATATTGGTTATTTTACTTTTTATAATAAATTAATTTTGTCATCGAAACTTAATACGCTTTTATAGCTAACTGTATACGTTGATAAGTACAATTTCTACTAATATTATCACATATATTTAAATACCTACTTAAGACAAAATGTATGTGCAAATGCGTAATGTCGGGATATCAATTCTGAGGGGGGGACCTACATTACCTGCCTATTGCCAAACCATCAGTACGGTAGGCTTCGATAGCGCTCCCAGTGTTAATTTCTTTTGCCAATTTCGACATTGCGTAATGTACCTATGTAGTTCTATTCGAAATCCACTATGACCGGTACCAGCTCTTCGCTTTTTCGAATTTTAGATAAGAGCGCCAAGGGGACTATCGATAAGGCTCTAATAGACACTTAAAGAGCCCTTCTATCGATTATCGAACTTTGTGTGGTATAGCCCAAGGTAATTATAATACATAGTAGTGCCACTTCACTATCGAAATGACGATTGTTGAACTATCGAAATAAAATAGTGGCCGAGAGTGGAACCAATCAGATTAGTTTATGCCGTTTATGGTCTAAGGCCGTGTAAAATAATATGATAAAAAATATAATGTTGAAGTGGCACTACTATGTATTTTAATGACCTTGGTGTAGCCCATACTTGCACCCCGGTAGCCATACTATTTCCAACTGTCTAAACTGGCAACTTATTTTCCTTCGGTTTTTTTTATTACTATTCGTTGTCTGTAACGTAATAAGTACCTAGTGTGTCACTGTGTTCGCGCATGGTAGTTTAATAGTTTATCCTCGCGAACAAAACTGATATTCCGCTACAGATCCTATCGCCCTGACGCACCGACGCGGATCGGTCGAGTCACTAGTTTGGACTGTTTGGAGCTGCCAGAATTATTTTATTCAATCAAGTAAGTCTGCGATCATGTAACAATTTCTATTTTATTTAGTTATATAGACACCGCGAGCTCGATAATAAGTCACATTTGTTTAACTAATAAAATAATCAAATAAATAAAAAAAATGAATTAAAGTAAGTAAATAATGAACTAATTAATAAGTTAATAACAGGTAACCATTAAGTACGCTATGTATACATACTGTATCTTGGTACATATGAGTAAGTGTTCATTTGTCTGGCGTTCACCGCAATCACACTCATTTCCTTCATTTTGAAGTCTCCATTTCACCCTATTTGATTTAGTTCTAGCTATCCCTACTCTCATTCGGTTAATAGTTTTCCATAGGTTCCACCATAAATCTTTACCATGTGGTAGGTATTGGGTAGATTGGATAGGATCTTCTGATTTTGTTTCATATTTCTATCTTTGTAATCTAGCTTGATGTGGAGAGTCTTCTAGTTCTGTTGCTGAATGGATAAAGCTATGCCATTATTTAAGTCTTGTTCTTTGGGGCTTTATACTCAAACATGGGATGTCTCTCGTCTTTTAACTGCTTTGGTCTTTCTAGGTCTGTTGCTACGCTCCTTCTGGTAGGGCAATGCTCTACAGGAAATATTAAGTACAGTGTTTACATGTTTGACATATTTTGGCCTTCTCCACACTGGGCAAACATATTATCCTGCCGAGAAACATAATGCCAATGCTATTGTTCGCATTGTGTGTGGCCGTACTCCCCACTGAGTACCGAAAGTTTCTTAAGTAAGTTATTTCTCGTCTGTACTTTAATTTTTGTGTTTATGCATAGTTCTTTGAATGTTAGGGTCCTGTCTAGTATTATTCCGAAATAAACTGGGTAGTCAGTGCACAGTATTGTGTTGCCGAGCTATTTGATATCAATTTGTTTTTTAGCATCTCTGTTTCTTAAGTAAAAACATTTCGTCAATACTCATTTTTTGTAACTGTTGTTTTGTGGCCATAACAAGTTTCATAGGTTGTATGAAGACCATTCCAAGAGCTTCCAAATACTTAGAAAGTGGTGTTGTTATAGAAAATAATTTCTTCATTAAGTGCATGGTAACAGTGGCGCAACTACGGGGGGTGCTTAAGTACCCCCTACTTTACTTTAAGCACCCCCATGTTCTATGTCATTAATGTAATTTCAAATATTTATAGTTTTAATACCTAATATAATTTACATTTAAGAATTGCTTTTTTCTTATCTTGCATTATGATTAGTTAGGTATATAATATTATTGTTGTATTATAATCTTAAGAACAAAATTTAAATTCATAATTTTAGTAATTGTTTTAAGAGATTTGTTAGGAGATATAGACATACTCAGTACAGTACTACATATTACAAACCAAAACGGCTACATTCGGGGAGACAGAAATTATAATTAAGAGTATCACTGCAGAGTTAATTACAAATATGAGGAAAGATAAAACATTTTCAGAATTATGATTAAGAATTGTACAGTTTTGTCAAAAAATTACATATTGTTGAAAGATCCAGATTGGATAGCTTCTTTGTTCATACTACGACTATGATATTATATAAAGTAAACAATTTAAAAATAAATTTTTTTAAAGCGTCAAAACATATAAGAACTAACTAATAATTTAATAAATAACCTTTCCATTTGGAATCCACTACCAGACGAAATATTGAACACATTCTCTACTATCGATAGGATATTATGTTTAACATTTTCAATTTTAATTAAAATACTATGAGATGTGTTAACATTTTTTCTGTAATAATTATAAGGTATGATTGGGATAAAAGTACCGGATTCTTATGGAAAAGTATAATCTTTACAATTCACCAAGAATTACTTTGATTCAAAATGTTTATGTTTTGTAATGTGAAGATTCTATTTTAACAATTTTTTTTTGCATATTTTTGAATTCTTGGCAAAATGACTCAATGGCATAATTATATTTCTATAAAATTGCAGACATAAAATTGATGAATTGTTTTTATTTTTAGCTCTGATTTACAAATTGTATTAATTTTTTTAAATTTAATTTCCCGTTCTGATCATCGAGGCAATAAGGCAAGTGTTTTGCTGGTCCTGAAATATAAATCTACACTGCATGACGATCGCAGAAATTTCTAATTTGAAATTAAAAATCATATTTTGTAACATTATATTGGTACTCGATCCAATATAATAAGTATTATATTTTCCATATTCTATTAATTTTTCATTTATTTAATTAAACAGTAGTTTGTACTAATTTGTAAAGCAGAAGTATACTGAAAATTTAAATTGTATTTTGTATTAATATACCTTATATATTTTATAACTGTATTACCTAAGATATTTAGTTTTTTTTTGCATATTTTTGAATTTTTGAGTGCATAAATATGTGCATATTTAACAATAATTGTTGACTATGTCAGCAATTCATAATATTGTAGCACCCCCAAGATTTGAACTCTAGTTGCGCCACTGCATGGTAGGTAAGAACAAAATTTAGTAATTTATTTATTCTATGTTATTTTATTTAAAATAATATTATAGTTTTTGGGTTTACTACACCCTTTATAGCACCTTGCTTACTTGATGCTCTATGAAATGCTTGACCTACTAATTTTATTCTCCAGTTTAACGAATAGCGATAGCAGATTTTTCAAAATAAAACAAACATACCATTACCCGTTGATATATTGCCTTCAAATCTAAACCCTAATTATATATAAATATACCTTTACTATTTAAATAAATAAAAATTAATAATACGAATCTATATTAAATTCGATGATTCCATCAACAATTAAATCAGCCTACCATCATACTATTAGTAAAATAAATTACTTAATAGCAATTTAAGTATATTATAAACATATCGAATCTCAGGGAATAACAAAAATTGATATGTGTATTTTTTTCAAGATATATATCTCCAACAAAATTTAAAAAGTAAAAACACTTTAAGGGTCAAGCAAAAAATTAGAAATAAGGAGACCCAACTAACTGAATATAGTAATTTATAAAATAAAATAAAAATTACAAAAGGATTAAGTAAGAAAAATATTAGAAATAGCATTAAGATGGTGCACTATATTCAGTCTACACTTGTTAAAATAATTATTATACACTCGAGTAAAACTGTATAAGTGAAAAAAAAATTATACAATATATATGATTAATAATAATATAGGTATAAGTCTGATAGACGGTCTTCGTTCTGAAACGTTTTTTGTATGTGAATCATTTAACATATAACACAGTGACTTATTCAATGACAGGTGTACCGTAACTAGTAAGTGTTACCTACTTTCCCCATTTTTATATATAAATGTATAAATATTTAAATATTTAAAAGGTGATAGGTACACATCTTTCCAGGGATAACCATGACACAACTTTTACATAAACAACTAAACTTATAAGTTATAAATAAAACAAAACCATTTATCACACTTTAAATGTATTCTTTGGCATTTTCACAAAAAAATAAACATCAACAAAGTGATATACAAATTAAAATACGTACCTATAAAATATATCTACCATCTACTTCATTGTTATTATCTTAATAGTAGAACTCTTTTATTTGATTGTTTATTAATATAATTAAGACAATGTAAAATTAAAATTAATACCTCATTGTATTGATCAACAGGCCTAATTGCAGTTAACTATAACACAAAAATGTCTCCTAAAAAACAAACTCAACGTGGCGGAGAACCAAGTGGTAGCAGAAAATTGGCTAGAAGAGGTCGAAAATCACATAAATCATTGTCATCTAATACACCAACTACTAACAATACCAAAGCTGACAGTAAATCTACTTCAAAAATGCATGCAGTTGTTAATAAAAGAGTACTCTCGTTATCTAGGTTAAAACCTATTCAAATTAACTGCGATTCAGCAGTGTCGTATGTAACAAATCAAGAAGAACCTGATGATATTGAAAAATTAATTACAGAGGATGTATTGGACAGCATACAATGGGAATTAGAATCTATGTTAACTGGTATAATTGTACGTAAAAGACAAATAAAAAATGATTCTAATTTGATTTCTTCTGTGCAAGAAACTGGTTCTCAAAATAATGTAGAAAATAACTCTGAACAACGTATGATTGTAGCAAAAGTGAATGCAAAAATATTTCCCGATGATGAAAGTTCTTCAAACTTAAACAGTGTTAAATATGAAAATGAGCTACCTCCTGCTACTGAATCAGCAAAAAAATTTTGGTCTCTAGTTAAACCTTATATTGCTGATGTAAGTGAAGAAGACCTCAAATGGTTAGAAGATTTGGTTATGTCTTATGCCTCTAAACTTGAAGAAATACCACCTTTAGGTGAACATTATACAAAACGCTGGGTGAAAGAAGAATTAAAAATGCAAAATCAACAAGCTTCAAGCTCTCATCAGCCAGATATTAAAACTAGACTAGCTGATCGAGTATCCCCTGATGTGGTAGAACTAATTAATAGAGCTAATAACGCTGCACGTGGTGGTAATGAATCAACAAAAATATATCAAAAAGTTATTGCAGCTATTTTAGAACATTCAAATATGTCTCAAAATGACAATGATAATGGTAGTGATATTGATGGTGATGCTGAAGACAAACTAGAAGAAATGAGCAATTTTTGTGAAGAATTTTATAGGGAACAAAATATTAGAAAACAACTGCAGAAATTAGGATTGATTGATAATAAAGGCAAGCCAGTGACATCACCCTCAAGTTTACCTCATTCCTCATCACAAGCTACCAATGAGAATGATGAAATTTTAGAAGAGTTAGTTAAATGTGATGCTGCGTTAAGTAATTTACAAGAAATGAACAAAAATCATTTAACTGAATTATTAGAAAGATGCCGTGAACGTCGTTCTCAACAAAAGAAAAAAAATAAACTCCAAAAACTGGATAATCAGATTTTAAACATGAAAAAACAAGGCAATTCACAAAAAAAAGATGGAAAGACTGCACAAACGGGAAAAGAATATGAGAACATGAGATTTTTATTAGATAAACGCAGTAAGTACATTATGCGGTTGCAATCGTATAATACAGATCCTACTGAAAATGATGACTCTGAATTAAGTGATGAAGACGAATGTATTGTTATATCAGATGATTGTATAGTTATATCCGACAATTAGTAACTAAAGGATAATTTATTGAATAGCTAATAATTTCATTTGATATAATGTCGCACACATTAAATTTCATTAAATTTAAATTTATATATTACTACATACATACATACATAACAAAAGAAGGTTCCTCTTATTTTCTCAGATAATATCTCTAAAAAGTTCTAGATGGTGTATTATAATTATTTTCAGTTTGGCAACATACACACTTGTTTGTCTCATCTATTTGGTATGATTATTTATTTTAAGGATACACTACATGTCTTTTTATTTGTTGACTTTTATATTTGTATGTTAAGACACTACAAATTACTTCCATAATATATTTTGTTAATCTTTGTATTTTAATACATTTTATTCATATTGTATACAAAAAAGTTAACTACAAAAAGTGTTTAAAATAAGTTTACAATTTAAAAATTATAAAAATAAAAATGTCAGGAATTTTTTTTATAAATTAATTTATTGTAACTAATTATTTTACATATTATTATGTATACATTTTTTTAAAATAACAGTGCCTTACAAATAGGACTAGAAGTAAAATGATTTATATGATTTAAATTTTTTATTTTACAAGTTTTTGCTGTTTAAGATAATTTTTAATAAAAGTGCATATCTTAGTACATATTTATTTTTTTTTGGTAATTTAGATTTTCCTAAAAGTAAAAACTAAAATGGCAACCTTAAAAATTCAAGAAGATAAAAGGTTTTCATAAGTCAACATAGTAAACTTGCAGGTAAATAGCAATAACATATTTACAGGTATGAAAAATGCATTTATCTATATTTTTGCTAAATTAAAAATCAATAAATATAATTATCAGGTAACTTTCTTTCTATATTATAATTTTAAGATCAAAAAAATTTATTAAAATTGAAAGCACTTTTTAATTACATATTACTTAATAAAGTTTGGTTTACCTACACATTACTGATACATTTTTTATCAGACGAACAATTATGTTTCAAATGTTCACATTATTCTTAAATTATTATCGCGTGTGAGAGTTGTTTCCGGCGCGGTTGCCCGACTCGACGTGACAGCGGTTCTCGGAAACAATTAGCAGATAAGAATTACTGGATAGGTATACAAGAATAATTAATAGGCACAATAATAATAATATTTTTCCAAATATAATAAAACCAATATATGAGTATAATATACTACCTATGAATAGTATGAATCATTATATTTGAACACTACAGTCTGATCAGTAAAGTTGTCTGTGAGTTTCCGGTGGTTTGTGCTTTTAGATTCCGAGTGAAACATGAATGTATTGATTTTACAATGATATGTGTTTTTTTTTAATTTTTTATTTTTGTGTCTGTCATCACGTTTTAGGACGGTAAAAGTGCTTGGATTTTCTTCAACAGTAGCTTTTCTGATAGAAAAGTGAATCTAGTTGGTACTTTGAGGGGGTAAAAAGTAAAAGTTTCCCAATAGTTTTCACGAGCGCCAGGAAAAACAACATAAAAATTAAGGAAAAACGGGAATTTTTACACTAAAATCTGTTTTCGAAAAAATTGGTTTTTGGTTTTTGGAGAAACTCTTAAACAAATGACCGTAGGTACATGAAATTTTGACTGAATGTTTATATTAGCATTTTCTATACACGATAACATTTTCAAAATGTTTTGATTTATTTTGAACTGTTTAGGCACATTTTCATTTTCAATTTTTTTCTAAAAATATCAATAAAATTTTATTTGTTGATTAAAAAAGCTTGAAAATTTAATACAAGGCTCCCACTATATTGTTACAATGGCATTTGAAAAATATTAAAAATCCTTAGTCACAGTTTTTTTTTATAACCATTTAAAATTCAAAAATTGACAAAATATGGAAAAATAACGAAAATTAGCAAATTACTTTGAGTTAAGAATTCGTAAAAATTTTTCTTTTTAAATCCAAGATTTGAAAATGTAATACAATATTCCTTATAAGATTATCTACCTTTATCAAAAAAAAAAAATGTTTATAAGAAAGTCAAATTAAATTTTTATGAGCGTTAGAAATTCAAATTTTTACAACATTGGATTTCACTGGATTTCTTATGTAGCGATTCCCTTATTTTGTTGTAATTCAAAAACGAATAACTGTAGATACATGAAAATTTCACTGAATGTTTAAATTAGCATTTTCTGAAAATATTTTGACTCTTTTTGAGCTGTTTACGGACATTTTCAGTTTCCAATTTTTTTAGTTTTGGTAAATGATAAAAAGTTTGTAGAAAAAAAGTCCTAGGAAAAAATGGTTTAAAAAAAAATAATTTATTAGAAAGGTATATTGTTTATGTTTCATAATTATTAATTAAGCACTAACCATTATCATAATTAATAAAGTGTATTTTAAAATTTAGTAATAAATTTTTAAATAAACAGTTAAAAGTAAAACAGTGAAAGACACAGACAAACCTCAAACAACATAAAATTATTATTATTTACAATATTATTTTGTTATGAATACTCGTATATGAATGATAACAAAGACTGCTAACTGGAAAGACACCAGCTCATGCGCCCGCCGAATTAGCAGAATTCGCGCAATCAACGCGATAACGGATTACTAATGTTCATTTACTACTCACACATAGACACAGTATTAATTTATGTGTCATATGAATTGCCTAAATAGTACTCCTTAAAATATGCTACGGTGTAGCCCCCTTAACGTTTTTTTTGGCGAAGTGTTTTTGTTGGGATAAATAATACCCCTCTATTCTCTATAATTATAGACCTCTACAGGCAATTTAATATATAGATCCGAAAAATTCATTCGTGTAAATCGCCATGTAACCAAGTGATAACAGTTGATAACCAATGTTATCGTTTTTTTTTCAATTTATTCGCCAAGGACTCATCATGACGTTAGTCAGGGCACAAAACAATATTGAATAGACACTCAATCAGCTGGTCGGGTTTGTGTATCCCTGGGGTATGAAGTATTGGACTCAAAAAATTGTACCCCATCCGTAATCTGATAAGATGTTGGTAATGTGTATCCTTATTTGTTACGATATTATAAAAAACGGAAACAATCCATTGACCAAGGACGACGACCGTTTTAATTTATTCAAAGTTCTTTATGTATGGTATTGTCAGTATTGTCACATTTTGCTATGAAATATGAATTAAATATTATAATATTGTTATTTGACATTTTTCAAATAATTTATAATATTGATATTAAATATTTAATTGATAAAGTATACCACACCCCACGGAGACCGTCTTCAAGGCCACAGACATCCGATTTGGCCGTAACACGGTGTCTAACTCTTGGTTAGGGTAACTCGGAATGGCAACATGTGTCTAAACTTGCCGATCAGCTGCTCCGTGTTATTGGTTATTACATATACATACGGTGTGTCATATTGCTATGTCATATCGGTAATTACATGCCTATTATTGTAATCTGTACTCAAAAATCTTTACTACTTTAATCTTTTTCATAGGTTCTTTACTCTGGTTTGTTCTATGCATGTTATTTTTTCTTTCTTCTCTGTTTAACTAAATCGGTATTCGATCTACGATCCGGCCGTTCTCCCCGACGTGGACTCAAAAGAACAAGCAAATTGCCAATTTTTGATCGTCTGGTTTTCTAGTAAGTCTGTGACTTGTTCGACTATTATTGAACACCACACTTGTTGCCAGCGTGCAGATACCACGCGTGCCGTAGTAATTTAAGCTTAATTCTTGTAAAATCTACTTACACCGTTTCCGGGAAACAAATTTCCATTTGTCTGTTTATGAAATCTCATTATTACTATTATATTTTAATCGATATTGCTGCAGTGGCATAATATATGTTGGGCCAGGATTTTTGTATGGGTTTAAAGAATACAATAGGTATTGTCAAAATAATCATTAAATAAAAAATGAAAAGAATAGTTATTAATTTATTATACATATTTACTATTAATATTATAATGTATTAGTGTTGAAAAACAAGGACATAACCAAGGGGATAGGTTTTATTTCATAGGTCAGTTTATCTTGCATAATGGAAGAGGGAGCACTCTATACTAAAGGTTGTTTCAGATACATTATTGTATTTGTGTATCTTCTTCTGCCATCTTCAAATTATTGGAAATAATTATGACATTCCTTTTACAAAACTTTTTCCTATAATTTAGGTTAGAACAAAATAAAGTTGAAATTCCCGACTAAACGATTGTTAAACCTTTAACTGATTTGCATAGGTATAATATTTGAATCTATTATTTTTATACATTTAAATAAAGGTTACTCAAAATATTTTCTTATTATACAATAATTTAATATTTTTAAACATAATTTAAAAATCTGTCAAACCAAGGTTACCAAACAATTATTTTAATAATAAAATTAACATTTTGTATTTTTGTCTCCAATATTTTAAAAAGTATTGAGAAATGTCAATTTTTGATCAACAAACTAGATCCAATTTTCTTATAGAAATCTCCTTTAAGTCTCCTTTAGGTCAGAGTCTTTTTTCTACTAGAAAGACATCAGACACAAAAATAAATAAATGAATATTAAAACAAATCACAATAAAATCAATAGGTTCATTCATCGCTCAGAATCTAAAATAATAATGCTTTTTTTTATTTTATATTGAATGTTTTAGGATTTGTAAGATATATTTTGGTAATTTGTAGTACATATGCAAATGTTTAAATAGTTGTTTAATGCATTAAATTTGCACCCTTGCTGAATGCACAGAGCAGTAGAGGTTAAAAACCATAGACCTATAAACTAATGGACAGCGCATTCGACTCAAAATCAATGCTAGGTGATCATATTATTACCATATAACTGAGAGAGAAAGAACATAAAGTAGACTGAATAAATTTTACTATTTTGTTTCTTTTCTCGCTCACTCTATATCGTAAACCTGACTCTCTAAGCTCTGTCCATTAGATTATAGGTCTATGTTAAAAACTGTGTTTGGAATATTATACTATTTGCATAATTCAGGCTTCTATAACATCATTTTAAATAATAACTTTCTACCTCAGGCCTAGAAAATTCTATGAAAAGTTTAAAAAAAATTCTTCGGTGAATGAAATATTTATTTTTACAAAATAAATAATCAAACCCCACACAAATAAAACAACTTGTTATTTTTGTTTTAAGTTATTTTTACAGATAAAAATAAAAACAACAGCTTGATAATATTATTTGTATCACATAAATAATATTAAATATTAAACATTTATAATGATTATTATTATGTGTGTGAAAAGACAGATTTGAACCATCGTTCAGAAAAACGACTGCCATTTATAATATTAACTATTAATTTTGCTTTTAATCATTTGATCCAATACCAAGTAAATACTTGCAATGATTATAAATTATATTTATATTTATTTTATAAGAGGAAAAAATTTGAATGAACGTATAGCTTTCCATTATTGTATTCAAGTTATGATTGAATCGTGGAAAATAGAAAAAATAATCTATAGTGGAGTGTATAACATGTACCTATAAATTGTCTATTATTATCATTACTATACCTAGGTACTTAAACAATAAGGTGCAGCTTTGAAATAATGTAGGTAGGTACCCAAGTTACCTAACAATAAATGTATTTTATAAATTTATATTTTGAAATAAAAATTTTAAAATAATATGTATTCTTCAGTGCACATAAAAAATCATACAGCTAAACAACCCGTTATCTATTGTTGATTTATTTAAAAATTATTTTTCTCCAGTTTATTCGACTATCTGATCGTCATTTTAATATCAATGTTTTGGCTGGGATTTTTGATTGTCTAAGTCAGATAGGAGACAAATTAACAGTCTTTTACCTGGTACAGACTTAGTTCCAACTGTTTTCTGGAATAGCAGCTGTTATTCAGTAGCCTATCCAATTTTTGTATTGTTTAATTTGTCACTATACTCTGGTACTTTTCCTAAAGCCTAGAAAACTAGTTTTGTTACACCTATATGGAAAACAGTAATTGTTAAGATATTCATACTTATCGCCTGACTTAGATCATTTTCTAAATTACTTGAAAAATTAATCGAACTAATTTTCTCAAAATTGTTGAGTAATATAAATGCCACTTGTGGTATACATATAATAATGAAGGGTATATTAAAATAAATTGTCAATGACTTAATAACTTGCATTGATTTAGGTTTTATGCATAGGTTCAATCAGGTCTCTAATTTGGATCAATTGTCTGGAACCCTAGGTAACTAGGTCTTATAAATGAAATGAAAAATGTAACGTTTCTTTCGCATTATAGACCATAAAATTAATTTGGCAGTCTTCCGGTTTCTGAAGTTGAGCATCAACCAATAATGATCTCATTGAAATCTAAACGCAATTTTATTGATGTATTTTTTTGTGTATAAACTTTTAAATGGCTGAAATTACAGTCCTAATTTTTTACACAGAATATATTTTAATGTACCTACCACAGGCCAATAAGTGTAACTTCCGTTGTTTCTATACCGAACCCCTAGTAAAATATTTTGTTAAGTACCCTTATATATTCATCTCTCATGATTCGGATAACTTCTATAATATGTATTTGTATTATTCCTTTCATTCAAAAATCTATTTTATTATCAAATATAGGTACCTAAGCCCCGTGGATTAAACAAAGCAAATGAAGTACCAAATTCTCAGGACAAACATATTTACTATTTTGTTCTTTATTAATTTATTAAATTAATGAATAAGAAAAGTTTTATATATTATATTTTAATTTTCCAAATTAATATTAATAGATCCATGTATTATTTGACAGGCACTGCTGTTAAACCATAACACAGAAACAAAACAAAATACATTATGTCTTCAAAGCAACAATCTCAATGTGATGAAAGAACAAGTGGTATGGAAAAATCAGCTGGAAAAGGTAAACAATCAAATCAACCATTGGCCAATGATGAATGGTGTAACGCCAATGCCAAACTTGTCACTCCTAAAAAAGAACTGATATCAAAAAATAATAAAACGCCACATACGCGTTCATTATGGTTTATGGTTAGACTTTTTGTGGTTCATGCAGATAGAGAAGATTTAATATGGTTAGACAATTTGATAAAAGACTTTGAAAATAATGGTGATAGTGATGTGGTTGATAGATCAGTTGACTTAGACAAAGATAATGAAAATGAAAATTTGGCGAAACAATTGCTGAAATTAAAGCTAAGTATGAATCACGGTGAGACAGAAATAGCAGTTGTAAGTCCGACTGTTCAACCATATGGAATGAGATTTGTGTTTCAAGATGCTGATGGGCAACAATTAATTATTTCAAGAGAAACCGTGAAATTTAACCTGACTAAAAATTATGTCAAGCCAGTAACTGAGGGTTTAAGTCTAACTCCATCAGGACATATCAGCTATGACTTCATTACAAGATTAATTAATTGGGATGATAGATTCAGTCATTTAAGAGGAATATCCCCAAAACAAATTCATGATTATGTAAATAAATTCCGTCAAGAGGGTTGTTACGAAAAGATTAATATTGAATTCAAAAAAATGGAAGAAAAGAATTTAATCTATAAAAAAAGAGGCAGTTTATCTGTAAAAAAGCAATTGAAAATTGCATCAATGTATAGATAATGGGAGGATATCTATTTAATATTACAAAAATACAATAACTTTCTTTCAAAAAAAGAGCATCCATACTTCATGTTCTTCTAACATTAATAATAATTGATATTGAATTTAATGTTAAATGTGTAAATTTTAATGGATTGGACTAATGCCTGTATGGATAGTTAAGCATGTCTCACATAAATAAACATGATTTATTTTATACTTAGTTTACATTTTAAAAAAATGTCTTATTATTTGGTACATTTAAAATAATATATTTAAAATTTATATTTTTATACAACTATTCCAATATTAGATTTCTCTTATTTTCTAACATATTATTTTTGTATAATATCTTTAAAAAGTACCGGATACTAAAATTATTCGCTTGAACTGTATGGCATATATAACCTGATATATTTAATGGCATGGCTATTTGTTGATTTATCTTATACTTTTATGTTCAAACGCTTTCTAAACTATTCCTACCTATACATTTTTATTTTAACCAAGTTAGTACTAAGTAGGTTCTTCTCTTAATAAAATACTGTAAATCATTGTAATTAAAGTCTTTATTTCTATAACCATGTGTTATGAATTTATTTTTTGTACATCGATCATTTAAAATTAAGGTCACCAAAACATATTTGTCTTTTATATTTTGATAAGAGTAAATCATATTATATAAGGTAGAATAACTACCAACTATCTAGTACATAGAAAAAATATAATTGTTAAAATGTGCTCAAGTGTGTATTTAAGGTATTTTTTTTTTTGTATAAATATACCAACTATTATACTTAGATTTAGATGGATATTTAAATAAAAATAAATTAAATTAAGAAAGTATACATTTTCTAATCAAATTTTTTTTTTTTAATATTCTCAAGTAAAAAAATTTCGGCAAGTAATCATGGTATTATATTTTTTTTTCGTCCGGCGTCACCTTTAAGATCTGTAACAATGCTTCGATTTTCAACTTTGAAGGAGGTATTTGATAAAAAATTGGATGTAGTTGTTACTTAAAGGGATCAAAATAATAATAAAAAATGACACATCAGTCAGGTAATAATATTTACTGTAAATATAAAAAACAAAAGGTGGACAGAAGCTGTACAGAAGGTTACAAGTGGGTCACTGTAATGGATGGTATTAAATTTGAATTCAATGATATAATATTATCATTATTTAAGAAAAACAATTTGAGCAAAGACGGTCAGACAACTTTTATGATATTACTAACTATATTTGATGTTGTTATTGTGAATAAAGTAACAAATTATATATAATCTATTTAAGCGGAACCTTGTTTTAAATTTTCAATCCTTAGCTATAAAAGTTGAACATTTTATAAATTTATAACTACAAAATAATTATTAAATTGTAAATTTGATAGATTTTGTCAACATTCGAACTTTAAATGCTTATAAAAAAAATTGTACCCATGTATTTTTAATATTTTTCCCCTATATTTTAACAATATATCAGGAGCCTTGCATTAAATTGCGACGCTTTTTTACTCAACAAATACAATTTTATTGATATTTATAGAAAAAAAACTAAAAAAATTAAAAAACTGACTATGTCCGTAAACATCTCAAAAAGAGACAAAATATTTTCAAAATTTGATTGTGTATAGAAAATAAATATATAAGCATTCAATAAAATGTTCATGTATCTACGAATACAGGCGCGGATTCAGGGGGGGGGGTCGGACACAACCTATATCATCTAAGGCAGTCTAAGCCACTATTAAATTAAATTTGTATTCAAAATTCTAAAATAGAAAGGTGTAACCATTTTTTTTCAGATTCTGAGAGGAGCGATGTGAGGATGATGTGTTTTTTTATAAATTAAAATTGTTTCTCTTTTGTTCTGTCATCACTGTATTCAGGGCAATACCTACAACTGCTTCGATTTTCTTCAACAATATAACTATCTCGATCATTGGGAATATGAATATAGTTGATTCATTTAGAAGGTCAACATTTACAATTCCAATAGTTTTAAGCCTAGAATAACAAAATAAAAACTAAGGAAAAATGGGAATTTCTAAGCAAAATCAGTTTTCGACAAAATCAATTTTGGTTTTTGGTGTAACTCTAAAACAAATAACCGTAGATACATGAAATTTTCACTGAATGTTTATATATAAGCATTAATTTCTGTACACGATAAAATTCACACGATCAAAATATTTTGACTTGTTTTGAGCTGTTTACAAACATAATTAATTTTCAGTTTTTAGTTTTTTTTCTATGATTGACAACAATTTTATTTGTTGGGTAAAAAAGCTTGAAAATTTAATACAAGGCTCTTAATATATTGTCACATTGATATTTCAAAAATATTAAATATACAGTCGCAATTTTTCTTATAAGCATAAAGCATTTAAAGTTCAAATTTTGACAAAATACGTAAAAATCACGAAAATGTGCAAATTATTTTGAGTTGCTGTACAGCAGAGCGCCACCTTTTTCTTCTTGTATAGGGAACTATTAAATGATTATATTATATTGACTTCAAACAAAAGTAAGTAGGTAAAACAACTCACTAATTATTAATTTAAAATTGGACTTTGAAATATAGTTATAATATTATTTAGGCAGGAACATGATGCATTTACATTTTTTTTCAAATTTGTTATAATAGAATATGCTCGTTATAATAGAAAATTAATTTATATCATGAAAAATTATTTAGCATAAATATGAAATGACTTATATTTATTTTCTATTTGTTGTATATATTTTTCTCATTAAAATTAATTTTTTTTGTAAGTCATTTTTTAGTTCAAAAAAACGTTATTGTCACAAGTTATGAAAAATATCGTAACTTGAATAATAATATTATTGTAGACGATTGCAGACAAGTGATGACAAAGTTTTTATGACATCATTTTTAATGAAACAACAGAATAGAAACTTTAGGTATACAACTTAGGTATATAAATATAATATTTATTATTGGACGACGAATACGTGTGTGGGTAATGACAAATTAAATGGTATTTTGTTTAATTGTATTTATTTATTTAAAGCGGTAGTTGATATTTTATTGACAACAATGACGAGGTGTACACAATTTGCATATTTAAATACGTTTGCGCATACTTAGTACGATTTATATATCCGAGTATCACACGTCGTTACACCCGTAACACAACGGATACCTACTACATTGAGCAATGTTGTTTTCCATTATATTTGATTTTGCTTATAACTATAATAAGTTATTCATATACAACGGTAATATTTTTCATAATTATTTAATTTTTTAATAAATGCCATTCAAATACACTTATAGTATTATCTGACATTCTGACTAATAAAGGCATTTTCTATGACGTGCGAGCCGTGAACATTTTCAAACCTTAAGGTTAGGTGAACAATTGTGAAATGGTATTCACCTAGTTATTAAATGTAAATAATGTAAATGTAGGTAAATTAAATGTATTTTGTAATAAGATGAAAAATTACTTTTTTCCAAAATATTTTATGATTAAAATAAATTAAATTTATACAACATTATTTGAATACCTAATATCTATAGTTCTAAAATATTTTCTGTTTAATAAATCTTCTACATTTTAAACTCCCGAAGAAATGCAACCTTAAAAAAAAAATGCATTAAAATCAAATCCGTATAGTCATGAGTCACGACACAAGCTATTTTCACGATATTTTAACTATAAGTAACTTAATCTCAGGAATCATCCATTGCGGTTTGTGTGAATTATTTCTATAATTCTATATACAATATAGGTACTGGTACTACATATTATACAACAAGTGAGTTTACACTGCCTGTAGGCTGTAAATTAAAGTTGTTATAATCACAACATATTCCTGAATGATGGCCTGATTAGATATGGCTATATATGAATATATTATATTCATATACCTATCATATTTACATTTTTTTTGTAAATGGTAAATACGAAAATATGGTAAAAATGTAATATACTCGTATTATCTAGTATCTATCTACTATTCCACATAATATAGGTACAAGGTGCTGTAACAGAAGAATCTAATAAATTAATAACTTTTATTCCAATCAATACTTAGGTATATATAATTTTAGATTCTGAGCGGAGCGAGGAAGCTAGTGGTTTTACAATGGTGTTTATTTATTTATTTTTTTATTTTTTTTTATATATTCTGTATACAAAATTTCTACCAGAAGGAGTGCTTTGATTTCAACATATAGTACCTTATCTTTTAGCAAATTGGACCAAGATGGTACTTTAGAGAGGTCATTTTTCGATTTTCTCAATAGTTATATAATGCCACGTGAAAAACCACCGAAAAATTACGAAAAACCATTTAAAATCGGATTTTAATTTCTACCGCTTTGTTTATCACCATAGAAACGAATAAAAAATTATAATATTAATTCAACTTACATGATATAATAAATAATAACTATATAAAATATCCAGACTGACAAACCGTCTCAGCTCAGAATCGTTTTTCTTATACAATGATATTATATCATTGAATTCAAGTTTAATACAATCCATTATACAATGACCCACTTGTAACCTACTATACAGCAGAGCGACATCCACTTACCCGCTTTTTTTTTAATACATTTTATATAATTTATTATAGACACTTGCGTTACAAAAGGAGGGTATAACGTTTTTTTTTATATAAATTCAGAAAACTTTATATTTTGAATTTTTTGAAATTTTTTTTTGGTATAATTCAAAATTGCCAATTTGTAAATCTAATTTTTTTGACATATTTTGATGGTAAAAACGTGTTTATTTAATTCAATTTGTTAATTTTTATTTTAATATTTTTTTGAAGTAAATTAATTTAAAACGTAATAACTTAATGAATATTTTCTGACAACCTACTTATATTATTTATTATCCATATAATTTTAGATTCTGAGTGGAACGATGAATGTATTAATTTTACAATGATATGTGTTTTATTTTTTATTTTTGTGTCTGTGTACACGATAAGTAGTCGAAATAATTCTTTGATTTTCAACTTCAGTATCTTGTTCGATTGGAAAGTGAATCTAGTTGGTGCGTTCAGGAGGTCAAATTTTAAAATTCCCAATAGTTTTCACAAGCGCCGGGATTAAACACATACAAATTAAGGAATAACGGGAAATCTTACGCAAATTCTGTTTTCCAAAAAATCGATTTTGGTTTTTGGTGTAACTCTAAAACAAATGAACGTATGTCGTATATACATGAAATTTTCATTGTTTGTTTATATTTGCATTTTCTATACACGATAACATTTTTAAAATATTATGATTTATTTTGAACTGTTTAGGGACAATTTCATTTTCCATTTTTTTTTAGTTTTTATTCTAAAAATATCAATAAAATTTTATTTTTTGGTTTCAAAAGCTTGACAATTTAATAGAAGGCTCCTAGTATATTGTTTCAAAGGCAGATGAAAAATATTAAAAATCCTTAGTCACAATTTTTTTTATAAGCATTTAAAGTTCAAAAATTGACAAAATATGGAAAAATCACGAAAATTAGTAAATTATTTTGAATTAAGAATTTGTAAAAATTTTTCTTTTTAAATCTAAGATTGTAATAAAAGATTCCTTATAAAATCACCTACCTTTTAAAAAAAATAATTACATTTATAATTACATTTAATGAGCGCTTGAAATGCAATTTTTTACAACCTTCGATATTCACTCAATTTCTCATGTAGCGATTTCCTTATTTTGTTGTAATTAAAAACGAATAACTGAAGATACATGAAAATTTCACTGAATGTTTTTATTAGCATTTCCTATACACTGTACAATTTTGAAAATATTTTGACTCTTTTTGAGCTGTTTACGGATATTTTCAGTTTTCAAATTTTTTAGTTTTTTTTTTCAATAAATATCAATTAAGTTTTAACTGTTGGGCCAAAAAGTGTAAAAATGTAATACAAGGCTCCTGATATATTGTTACAAAAGCAATCGAAAAATATTAAAAATACAAAGGCACAATTTTTTTTTATAAGCATTTAAAGATCGAATTTTGACAAAATGTATCAAAATCTCGAAAATTATCAATCATTGTAATTAATAAATTATAAAATGTTCAGTTCTTATAGCTAAGGATTGCATATTTAAAACAAAGGTTCTCATAAATAGTTCATACTGTAATCAAAAAATCTAAAAAATATATGATCACAGTTATTTTTTATAGACATTTTAAATTCAAATTTGGACGAAATTACATAATAAAAAACCTAGAATAAATATAATTAGTTATTTTGTTGTGATTGTATATTATTATTCGTGGGTACTTGAAACTTCTAAAGTATACTTCTATATATCTATGATAGTATCAGGGTTTGTTGTTGGTGTATAACGCGTTATAAGTACCTAATGGATATTGTGATATGATTAATTTGGAATTCATTAAAGGTCGATTTTTTTAATACCATAGATAAGTATATCATATGTCTTATAGGTATCTAGAAGGACATACTGTCTCCGCTCAGAATCGTGTTTCTTATACAATGATATAATATCATTGAATTAAAATGGAATACTATCCATTATACAGTGACAGACTTGTAACCTACTGTACAGCAGAGCGACACCCACTTGCCCACCTTTTTATAATTGTTGTCACACGTTAAACGAGAATTCGATAAATGCGACAAAAAACAAAACAGTTTGTATTTTGTCGCATCGTTCGCATTGTAATGCGATGGAACAGCATGATCATTGATCAGAATAAAAATCGTCGGACTCACCGACTTTTCGTAGGACATTGCGGTGTTAGTAGTAAGTATACATTTTTCATTTTTGTTTTTTAGATCTTTCTGTCTCATTCTGTATAGTTATAAGGTACCTATAATAATTATTAATATTTTAGGAATACCTATGCATGTTGCATATTATGTAGGTATACCTATTTACAATTTACTTAACAGTCATCATGGATTTTATTATGTGGTATGTACCTATGTAAATAGGTACTATATTATGAGGTATATCGTATTTTATAAATTATTATATAAATGTATTTTATGTAAAGAGAAATACAGATTCCGTAACATTGATTATAAATTATTATAATTTAATAAATTCAGAATTGCTTTATGTTTATCGTATATCCATGAAGATTTAAGATAATATTTTACGTCTCCTCAGTCGTCATGCATTGGTTATAATACAATAATATACAGTGTGTCATATATAATATAATCAATGATTCATTTGTATACCTAAATAAGTGTATAGCTGCACATGGCCCGGTATGTAAGTACGTATTATAACCTATATTATAATATTATCATATATTATATGTATATTTTTTTAACACTAACGCGTTTAAATGGCGATCGACGATACTATATACTTCTAACCTTGTAACATTATTATAATTTATGTAGCTAGTTGGTACTTACAAAAGCGATTCTCAAGTGGAATGAGAATGTTAGTACACGGTAGGCGGTGAGTAGGGGTGTATGTTTGCCGGTTTAGATAACGTTCGCCGCGTCTGCGTCGCGTCTGTTAATGCAGTTGCGTCTGTTCATTGTCGTCTTATCGTCAGCGTTTGTTTGGTTCGAAAAAACGTTGTTATCACTGCCGAGCATTCGGACGCACCGCCGCCAATAATCGCCATTAGCCGCCGCACAAACAGAAAGGAAACGGAACCGCTCACCGGGGTAAAGGCCGATAGAGTGTGTGTTGTCATTTGTATCGAAAAACGACAACTACAACGACAAAATGGCAGGCGGCGTCATACTCGAGAACTTGAGCGGAAAAAAGCTGTTCGTGCTCGTATCATCGTTGCTCTTTTGCCAGCTCGCGTGTTTCCTGATCGGCGGACTCGTAGGTAAGTCATCGTTCACACGGCCGAGCCGGAATCCCGCCGCCAACGTTCCTTTGTCCTTACTCAACGTTTATGTTTTTCTTTTGTTCGTAGCTCCGACACCGTCCGCCACCGATATGGTGTTGGCCACAAAGTGTTTGTACAACGACAGCAATCCTTGGTCGTACATCAGGGGTGATGGAAAATGCTTCTCATACCAGTCAGACATATACAAAGATAGCCCTGTCGCCAACACGATGGCCAATGACATTGTATTCACTTTTCAGGTAATCCATTACGTGCCTAACTAATAGTGTGATGTGGTTTTGTTACCTACCTATTTATTAATAATCATTTTACCAATTTCTAGATACCTACTCCACGCGATGGTCAGACATTGGATTATTCTCGATGGCAACAGTATCTCATAGGAGTCCTCAATTTTGACATTGAGTATCATATTGACACTAAAATGGGTATGAATACAATAAAATATGACTTACTTATACATTTGATCATAGTAAACTAGTAACTAATTGATATGAAGTGATCGTAATTGTGGTCACATGTTACTGTACAAAATTGTATAATGCACATGTACCTACTATTGAAATGTTTTAATGACAATAATAAGCTAGGAAATCTGCCACTGTACACAATGTTTGATTTTAGTAGTCGTTGTAGGAAAAATTTTGCCTTGTCTGGACATTGTGTTCTATGACCAAATAAAGTTGATAAAAAAAATAAAAAATGTTTGGTTAAATAGGGTAGTATTTAATTTCAATTAAATATATTACTATAATAATATACTTACCTACTATTAGTTTTATATGAAACACTATTAAGATTTAAGACTATTAAAATAGTTCATGAACTTAAAATATTAAACTTGATTAAACATATTAGTAATAAATATATTACACAAATCACTATTATGGTACCTACTAAACCAACAAAATTGCCTAGGACTTGTCTAACTAAATATATGTGTCTTACAATTACACAAAGTCTTACATATACAGTAAACGTTTTCTACCTAAATTGGATAATTTACACCTTGTTATTAAAATAATATAATACTGTCAAACGTTAAAATATGTCCTTTATTTTTTTTTTTAACATTTCAAGTCAAATTACAATTAATTTCAATTACTTAATTAGATGAGAATTCATTGCGTATTTGCATTATTTCTTATTTTGTCTATTACACAGAGGTTCCTAATCTTTTTACCATACTACTAATTTTTGAAAATGTTTAAATTTTGATGACTCAAAACTAACAAATGACCGTTTTTGTTGTTATTGTTTCATTTATGATACCTAACTTTTTTACGGTGGCCTTGTGGTAACATGCCACTCCGTTTTTTTTATATATTCCATTATATTTTATAGTAATCTAATATTAAATATGTTATATTATAATAAATACATGTGTATTTCAAAACTATCAGCGACTCATCAAACGTAATATTATTAATATCGCATATAATTGTATAATAGTTTGTCTGTTTGTCTGTCTTGGCTCTGCCATAACATTTATAATGACTGTAATTATTGTCAAATTGTTTTTTTTTTTTTAATAAATTGAATTTGATATTTTCTCATTATTCATTTATTATAAATTTATAAAATAAAACGTTGATATTATTCTTTAAATATTTATTGATAAGTATGTATAGTACCTATGTATTAGCTAAAATAAATATGTGCTTTAATTATAATTTTTTATCAGGTCTATTATACAATTTTTTTCTTAAATAGTTCATTTTTAGACTTTAATAACTGTTTAAAACCAATACGACTCAAAATATAATAATTATCAAATGTTATGTTCATTGTTATTTCAAATATTGAGCCTATATTTCTTATGAAAATTTAGAAAAATAATTCTATTTAGGATGTAATGATTACAAACTATATTTTAATTAATTGATTCCATATTATGTCTCCAAAAATCATTTTTTATTGCAATGAATAATGATTTGTAATTGATTCCATACCTTGAGGAGAACATACTTCGTTGTTTCCAGCATATAATCTATTAATCCTATCTGCTCTTTTTTTTTAAAAAATGAATACATTTTTAATCAATAAATAATATAATTAAATACTTGATTATTGATATTTTCTTAAAATTTAGTTAAAAATTGAATATTGTCATGTCATTTTGAAAATTTAATTATTCAAATATAATGATTAGCTGTTTATTAAATATTAAATAGTAAATAAGTTCTTACATAAATATTTTACTTATAATTAGTTAATAATTTAACTACTTATTAAAAACAAAGAGCAATAATTAGATTATGTATCTGAAGATTAAAAAAACCAAATTTTCTTTTAAAAAAAATCATTATATGGAACTATTGAGTGTCTATTTTTTTCTTTCTAGATCGTAATCTTGAGTTAACGCTAGATACCAAACTTGGCTATCGTAATGTGGGCGACAAGGATGGAGATTGGAAATTATTTGCTACTTCTGTTGAGAAGCGTAATCTTGATTGTATTTCAGAAGAGGTAAATAATTCTTGCATGTATATTTCTTCTTAAGTTATGCTCAAAAATTGTATTTTGTTATAGAAAATAGATGGTCATAATTATCAATGTGGATTGGTACCACTTTTTGAACTCGGATCATTACATCATGATTATTATTTAATCAACATAAAAATACCAGTAGATGAGGAAAATGGAATAAACTTTGGTTTAGGACATCTAAAAGATGTTTGGCTTGTGGTAAGAAATACAAATGTTCTTTTATTCATAAATAATTTAAATAGAATGTTTTTTTATAAATAATTACACATAAGGAGATTGTGTAGCACTTTTTTTATTTGTATTTTTAAAAAAAAAAATAAGGTCATAGGTATACTTTTTGTTTTTAATTTGATTTTATATCTGAGTAAAAAAATTTAATTTTAATTAATTAATTGTTTAATAATACTATTATGCCTTCAATACTGTTTTAAAATCTTAATTATTTGTGTTAGTATCTGCTTAACTTGCTTATTAATTTATTGTATAATTATTTTATATTGTATTGTTAATAGGTTATTAATCAAAATGGCGGTTTTACCAGTGTATGGCTTTACATGAAGACAATATTTTTCCCATTTATTGTTGCAATAATGATATGGTTCTGGAACAGAGTTCATATGCTGGCCCGTAAACCAGTTTTGCTTGAACGCATGTTGATGACTATCGGTTTTGCACTAACTCTTTTGAATCGTAAGCAAAAAGCAAAATACCTTTATAGTGAAATAAATTTACAAAATCTTTACTTATGCATGAGTTAATTAATAATTAATTACAATAACTACAAATTAAAATTGCTATAATATAATATAATTTTTATTTTAGTCAGTTGAATTATTTAATTATGAGTTTTATGAATTTTATTGTTGATAATACAATAAGTTTAATAGTCATAATGTAACATGAAATTTTTTTGATATTTTAATTTAGAAACCAACTAGTTATGTGCACTTCAAAATGTTATAAAATGTAAAGCATAATTAAAAATATTTTCAACCTTGAAATTCTCATCACTAGCTTCAAAATTAAAATTAAAAAAAGACCTTTTCGAGGAATCAGATAATATTTTTAGATTTAAATTAGTTAGTAAATAAATACAAATGGTTTATTATGAACGTTAAATTTACTATGTTGTGCGTTATTAAGATGGAGTACATTCTATTAATGTTAATTTTTTTTTAGTTCCTGTTGAATTTTTGACATTAAGTTATGATATGCCATTTATGTTGCTTTTGCAAGATATAAGACAAGGTATATTTTATGCCGCATTACTTTCATTTTGGTTGATTTTTGCTGGTGAACATCTTATGGTAAGTGATTTAACTGTAATAAATAATCAACTTATTGTTATTTTTATATTACCATAATAGTGTCTAAAATATTTGTTTTAATTTTTATGTTCTCCATACTTCTTCGTCTTCGTCATGCTCATATAGATCCAGGTAAATTAAATTAAATTGATTAATTATTTGAATACTAAATATATGTGTGGATGTGATTAAGGAAACTTATTTGTAACTATTTTTATTCACAATTATCTAATAACCTTTATTCAAAGTAAAATTAATTTAAATATTTATTATGTTCAATAAATATTATTATGTATTAATATTTTTAGAAAAAACTTATGTATAATTTTGAAATTCATAGGATTCTCAACAAAAAAATCTGCAGACATATTGGAAACATTTAAGTGCAGTTGCTGTTGGTTGTATTTCACTTTTTGTATTTGACATATGTGAAAGAGGAGCACAATTAAAGAATCCTTTTTACTCCATATGGGCTACCAATACTGGCACAAATTTAGCTGTATCCTTTTTATAAACATATTGTATTTCTTAATTTAATTTGCTCAAATGATAATGTTCTTTAACCTAGACCAATTCAGTTAACGTTTATAATATTAGCAGCAATATCTGGTGGCATGTACTTTTTATTCTTATCATACATGATATGGAAAGTTTTCTGTAATATAAGTGCTCGAAGGTCAGCATTGCCATCTATGTCAAATGCTCGGAGGTTACATTATGAAGGCAGTATTTATAGATTTAAATTTTTGATGATAGCTACACTATTATGTGCTGCCTTAACCGTAATTGGATTCATATTGGGACAGGTAAAATAACCATTATTTCTTTTTGAATGTCAATAGCTCATATTTTGTGTGTTGTTCTAGGCTTCAGAAGGACATTGGAAATGGAACGAAACTAATAATCTAAACTATGCATCAGCGTTTTTGGTTGGAGTCTATGGAATGTGGAATATTTATATATTTGCACTGATTGTTCTTTACTCTCCTTCTCATAAGCACTGGCCATCAGAAATTGGTAATGTTATTAGTGATTTTGAAATAACTTAGTTATTTCAATTTTATTTTATTGCTAAAAAGGTGTAGAGCATAAAACAAAATATCTATTATCTATTATATGTTTTATTTATTTTGTAGTATGATTAATATGATGTATAATGGATAATATTCTATTGAATGGAAAATGGGTCATATTTAATTAAAAATGTTTAATGTAGTAGATATTTTGATTTATGTCTAATTTAATTTTTAATCTAATTCGTTTTTTTTGTATAAACTCAATGTTAGCTATTGTCTATACGGTATTTTCTGTATAAATATTAAATACTCAATTATATTTATGGTGGTACTTAACCAACTGTTAAGGCTGTTAAAAGCTGGTAGTTTTCACATGCATTTAGACTAATAATGGATATATGGATTTCCAAGAATCTTAGCTGTAATTAATTTTTAATTATATAAAGGGTTTGAGAAACTGATGCACACTAATGATCTGTCACTACATACTTACTCACACATCTCTTCTGATGAATATAGAATATCGCCTAAATCCCCCCCCCCCTTTAAAAATGGTCCACTTTCAAAAGCCTTACCAAACTTAAAATTTTAGATGCCATTTTAATATAAAGCATATAATAATATGCGATATTATTTTTCATAAGACTATTTTCTGCTGGTCCGTAGACATATACTAGTCAATATAAAAACCACTTGTTAAGAGGATGTCAGCGCACTATAGGTTTTCTCTCTGACCAAGCCTGTGTTATTAATCTAGAGATAGGAATTATATGCATTTTCATATTAAAATTGAGTGTATGCACAAATACGAAGGTTCAAAATGTGGGCGTTTCAAATCAAACTGATTTGAGGTGTCATAGTCAAAATGAGAATTAGCATATTGATGCATATTTGAGAGGTTAATGCATATTTTGTTATTAAAGCATATTTTAATTTGTATATACTGAGTTCAGATTAAGATTGTACCGACTTCGTGCATGCAGACTAAGCCGCCGAACAGTGCCTAACCCCCCATGCGATGGCTATGCGTTCTATGATTGGCCGACCGTCATCGCCGGCTATTGTCGATCTTCGGCGCCGGTGATGGTGGCCGTGCATATGCTCCCACCGGTGTCTGGAATGCGCGAAAAAAAACTTGTTTTGTTCGAGCTAGCAGTTTAATCTTAATCTGAACAGAGTATAGTACACATTATTCTATACACTTTTAATAAAAAAATTACTTTTTAAAATAAAAACAAGGATTAATTAGTTGTAAATAATCACAGAAATCTTTTGGATAATAAAAATTTATACTTTTTTTATTTGACAAAGTTTTGTTTTCAACATTATAATTATATTAAATATGCCGTTCCAAGAAAAGAAAAGAAATAGTAGCATAATAGCATGGTTACCACCTCGGTTTATTATGGATCTTTGATTAACCCCACTGAATTAAATGTAATAAAAATATAAAATTAATACATAGATATATATTTTTGGGTTAAAATTCAAAAAAAAAACTAAAGAATAAAATTATGATTCACTTAAAGTTTTTATTAATTTTAATATTGGAGTGAGTTCATTTATTATAAAACTTAACAAGTTAAAAACATGATGGTAAAAGAGAATGCAGACTTTATAACATTCCTGTAAAATACACTAGGAAATCTTTCGGGCAATCCTTTGTAAATTATTTAGGTCCGGTTTATTTCAACTGTATAACATATTCATATAAAAAAAATGTCTACTGTACCAAAACTAATCCTAAAAAAATTATATACCAATGGTTGTTTTCCCAACTAGCATAATCAAAATCCTGCTATCCATTATTTTTAATATTATTTTTCAGTGTAATTAAAATTTTTAATTCATAAGTTAAAAATTTTTTATTGTATAATTGTCCACTAAAATTTCTTATAACCTTAATGTTTTAATCTTTTCTATATTTTACTAATCACACATATTTTATCTTTTGTATAACTCTGTATTTAATCACAAGCCATAGCTTAAAGAGATAGATAAATCTGGTAAATAATATTTGTATTACATGTATTGTGTAATTTATGTCTATTTAATAATTAATAAAAAAAAAAAACATTACCTGTGTCCCTTCGTTAGCTAATTATTTGATATCTTAATTTTAATGAAAGTTATGAGTGTGTAAATTATTATAATTTTATTTAAAAATGCTTATAAATTGTATAAAAATTAAAATATCGTAAAAAAAGCCTTGTACATATATAATATTTCTAGTTTAAAGTTTGATAAAATAAAAAAAAATAAATTTTCTATATCGCTCGTGGGCCAGAGAGAGTAAACAAATGGTACTCTGACATCCACTTAAGAAGTTGGGTTTTCTCTATATATTCCGATAAGATACACTTTTGTTCAGCCGATGACGATAAATTATTATTTATTTTAATTGTGAGGAAGTAAAAATAGAAATTAAAATAATAAAATTGAAAACTTGGTTTTAAAGCAAATATTATTTAGAATGTTAATCAAATAAAAATAAACTCATTTTTTCCAAGCTCATAAGTGATGTAACAATCAAAATGATGTATATATTTTTGATATTTTAATAATTTAATAATTTAATAATACATAAACTCAATATTTTAAAAACCTAGGTTTTTTTCCAAGTCTCGCGTAAGACACGCCAGAGACGCGCTGTTGAGCTGATCTGATCCCTTGAAGAGTGTCTTAAACGAGTTTAACTATATCTTCTTATAGCTTATTATTATTTTTTTCTTTATTGATAACATACACGATCTGTACACAATAAGGCACAATACGAGTATGAGCTATAATACAAATAGAAGAAAAACTTGAATGAAGAAGCTTCCCATTGATGACACTTTTGTTTTTTAATTGCAATGATTACTTATAATATGATTAAATCAATATAAAATTATTAAAATACAACTTTAGAACATACAGATATACTAGTTTATTGTATCAGCTAAGTTGTATGTATTAATAATTTGTTTTTTGGAATTATATTATTTTTTCTAGATATTTTTATTATAATGCATATTTAAAGTACCTACAAACATATCAAATTCTGAACTTTAACTTTAAACTTTTTTTTCCTTATTTTTATGGTTTCATAATTGATTGTCGGTAGATAAGTAGATTATACTTCTTGTTCTTATTTAATTGAAATTTAATGCAGACATTTTAGTTGGTATATTATTTTGGTTATAACTTATAAGTTATTAAATAAATTAAACTATTATCAAATAATATAAAAAAAAAAAAATAGTAAGACTACAATTGTAATATTTTATAGCTCTAACTTGGTTTTAAAGCAAATATTATTTAGAATGTTAAACAAATAAAAATAAACTCGTTCTTTCCAAGCTCATAAGTGATGTAACAATCAAAATAATATTTTATTTTTGCATTTAGTATTATTTATGTACATATTAGGAAATTATGCCATTACAAGATTTAATTTTAAAGTTATATAGTGCATTAATAGACTGTCAGATTTTATATAACAAGAAATCAGTTTTAAATTGTGATTATTTTTAAATTTGTGCTTATAAAATGTTTGTTTTGTATTTTAGATGTGAACAACAGTTCCAGTGACACAATTGAATTTAGCCGTCTTCCTACTGAGCCAACAGAAATGTCATCTCTGGCTTCATTCTCTAGGAAATCTGCTTTTGACTGAACATCCAAATGCCATGACATCTTCCTATATGATAATTTTAAGTTCATCATGACATTTTACTTTTTTCCTCATTTATTATATTTAGGTCTGTGATAGACCAACACAGTACAATTTAAGTTAATTTAAATTTAAGATCTTATTTACTGCAGTATTATTTTGTATTTTTTTTTTTAGTACTTTTTTACAGTATTTTTTTTTTTTAGTAAAATAATACTCTTTTTATAACTACTTTTTTTTATTACTGCATATTTACAATTAACGTCATTTAAAAAATAGATTATGCATTATATTATTGTATGTATACATGTATTGTTTGAATTTCCTGCTTAGATTAATACTAATTTAAATTTATATACTTTTTTTTAGTTACATTGAAGTATTGGTAATTTTATACTTAGATTAAGCTATACATTTTTTTTATTTTTCTATTTTTAATCTAGAAAATAATACATAGTTTATACTCTATAGATCTGTCACTACTAATTTTTTTTTAACTAGCATTAGTACTTAACATTGCTACCGCTTATCCTCTTGTCCATTTTCATTCATGAATTTATTTTATAAATTACCAACATATCAATTATTATTTATTAAGAATTTAGAATAAAAAAACATACCTATGTACTGTACATTGAAAATACTTTCTGTATATCTTAATGATAGTATTAAGTAATAACACTGTTGCATGCCAAAACCAACAATTGTTAAATGGATTAACTTAACTTAAACATTGCATTTTACTAAGTATCTAAATAAAATATAATTTTTCAAAATGGTATAACTCATGACATAAGCGTAACCTATTTTTATTTTATACTAACCCATTGCAGTTTGAGTAGTTTATTCTATGATATAATAAAACACATATTATAATGTTTATTGTCTAAATAAATTCCTTACCGAATGCGTAATTAGGCATATTATTATTTATTCTATTAATCAATATAATATACAGGAATCATAATACCCCTTTTTAATCAGTGGCGTTAATTTGGCTTAATTGTTAAGGTTGCAAAAAATATTTTGGGTGAACAGACTTGTTCCCGCTCCTCACACCTCTTAAACACAGTTTTATTATATTCTAAATTTAATATTACAAGCAAGACTTTCCATTAACATGCTAATAACGTGATCATTCAGTTAATTTTAACTAAATTACACAATTGAATATACCAAGTTTTTTTTAAAAAGTTAACTTGTACGTTAGTTTACTTTATTGCTATGCTAAGTTAACTTTTTAGTTTCTGAATGGAACGATGAATGTATTGATTTTACAATGTGTTTTTTTTTTTTGTACACCATAAGTAGTCTAAATAATGCTTCGATTTTCAACTTCAGTATCTTGTTCAATGGGAAAGTGAATATTGTTGGTGCATTGTGGAGGTCAAATTTTAAAATTCCCAATAGTGTTCAAAAGCGCCGGGGAAAACAACATAAAAATTAAGGTAAAATAGAAATTTTTATGCAAAATTGGTTTTTGGTGTAATTCTAAAACAAATGAACGTATATACATGAAAATTTCACTGCTCGTTTATATTTGCATTTTATATACACGATAAAATTTTCAAAATATTTTGATTTGTTTTGAACTGTTTAGGATCATTTTCTCTTTCCAATTTTATTAGTCTTTTTTTCTATTAATGTCTATAAAACTATTTGTTGTGTAAAAAACCTTGAAAATTTAACACAAGGCTTCTACTATTTTGTTACAATGACATTTGGAAAATATTAAAAATCCTTAGTCACAGTTTTTATTTATAAGCATTTAAAGTTCAAAAATTGACAGAATTTTAAAAATAACGAAAATTAGCAAATTATTTTGAGTTGAGGATTCATAGAAATTTTTCTTTTTGAATCTAAGAATTGTTTCTAAAAGATTTTTTTTTCTAACAATACTACTTAATAATAATGCCAATGCATTAAAACAAAGTTAAACATTTTTTCTAAAATATAAATTAGTTAATTATTATACTGACATTGCAGTTAATACTGACAGGTTTTTTTAAATTTTTCAACTAAAGTAATTACATTTTTTTGAAAACTACACATGATTCTTTAAAGTAAAAAGATACTTTTGTGATAAGTGCGTACCCCCTCACACTTAAAACATTTCTAGTCAATGAATACGTTGTTTAAAAAAATGGTTTTTAAGTGAAATAGTTTTAAGGTATTGTAAAGGGGTTAAAATTTAATTTTTAAGTTGTTTTTATTAAGTATCAATACATTTCTATTTTTTTCAAATACTATGCTCTGCATCTTACAGGTATTAAATCATGACTTGACGTTATGTTTGACATTGTTTTAAAATATTTAGAAATTAATGAATATTTTGATGCAATGTGTAGAAAAAAAAGAGTTACATTTTGAATGAAAGCTTCTACACTAAATTGTAGTACGCTGCATACTACTGCTCATTTCAGGCGGAAAATGTGAATGTGAATCAATATAGTTGTCCGTATTCATATATACCTAATGTTTATTAAAATTATTAAAATCTATTAATTCTCATTTAATTTCTTTAATTAAATGTTTTATTTTTATTTAATGTTTTATTTTCATATGTATTTATTCACGCACGGCCCGCGGTAATGTATTGTGTACCTACTAACACACACTCACTGCTATACAACGTATGTATACTCCGGCCCACGAGAGTTCATATGTCCAAACGCGTCCGTCTCTGCGCATCTGCATGTTGCCGAATAGTGGGAATGACATCATGGTGGGAGAAAACAGACGTCGCGTATTACTATATCGATGTGCGGTTTACGTTTGGACTCTCGTGGGCCGGAGTATACCTAGCTTACGTAAATTACTCTTCTTTTGCGATCTTTTTACGAGTAACGCGTTTGAATATTATTAAACTATTACTGGGTAGCTAAGCTAGCAATCTTATAACAATATTCAACTACCTGTTTATTATATAACTCTATTAAACGAATTTATTACTTTTATTCCGAATTCTTGACGTCAACTATTTTTATTCAATAACTTTATCTACTGCCTTTTAATACAAAATCTATTTTTCTTCAATATATCAACTTATTTTTCTCCAACTATTATCTATCATTTAATTAACTTTTTTATTTCAATTCAATTACTTTTGTAAAATATATTCATCAATTATATCCATATATATTTATTCAATTGCTACACGCATGTATTAATTTCAGATCAGCCTATCTCTGTCTGTTAATTCTCAATAACTATTATATATTCGTAGATCAGTCCCTGCTGTCTATTACAAAAAATCAACGTGAGACGTGCTCCCAAAGCTACTATTCTATTTTGCAATATATTTATCTTCAACTTAATTAATTAACTCACATTACTGCTGCACCTACTGCTGAAGTCATCCTGTCTTTGTTTTTGTCTGCTTGCCTGTCTTTTGAAATTCTGTTCTTTGCTTCCGGAGTTGACTACAGTATACTATACTAAATATGGTACCTGTAGGGACTTTAAATGTTACGTAGTAATATACTATATAGTAACTAGGGTTACTATCCGAAAATATATGTTAAAAATGTTCCTACTTCACTGGATTTATTATTGTACTCTGAGGTAAAATACAAAATCTTGGATCTTACTCCACCATGACTGGCCCAGATGAAAATGACATCCTTGTATTTTTATTAATGGCCAAACTATATTAGCTGCTTTATGTATAGAAGATTCAAAATCAACGTGAATTACTCCAGGATTAAAATTAAAATTTCTTTTGGAACATTCGCTAATTAAGCCTCTAAATACATTTTCATAAGCGTTACATCTTTACTGTTAGGTAAAATAAGGCAAGGGGGAATATAATACTCATTCGACATACCATGTATAGTAGGTAATGTAGCAAGCCAGCCTACTACGTAGTAATAATAATAACTAGAAACCATTCTGTAGACATTATTATGAAGAGGGCTAAAGATAACTTGGGACCGCATTCCAACTAAAATATACATATAATATAAAATCTCAACTAAACAGGTTAAGAAAACAGAACCAGGCGGGCAATGCACAAACAGGTTTTAGTCGGGTTAATAACATTTCTAAGAGAGGGGTGACGTGCAGCTAACGAATACCTAACCCATCACGTTTTATTAAACACAACGCAGTATATTTAACACTACACACATATTTTTTTTATTTTAACCTATCGATAAAACTGAATTATATATTATACAGTATGTCTCAAAAGTCCCGTATCACCCTTAGTATCTCCGTGGAAAATCAATATATTTAAATTCAGATTTTTTTACAGTAATAAGTATGGAAATTCTGATTAAATAGCATAGTATTCGGTTTTTTGTTTGAAAATTTCAAATTATTAAAATATTTTGTTTTTGCAAATAAGTTTTTTTTTAAATTTCCAAGATAGCCATTTTGATGATCGTATTTTTTAAAACAGTTAAAAAAAAATATTAAAATTTAATGAAGATCACAAGAGTTAGAACTAATTATTATTTTGAATTTCTAAGAATAATAGTTTTGTTGTCCATGCATCAGCATTAGCAAAATACGATTCGCATGCTTTAATCAGAAATTGGAATGCTGAAATTTTTTATGACAATCTTATCTAATTATTAGTGAAAGCTTTCAGTTATAAGATTAAAAACTTACATTTTCAATAACTTATATTTTGTATGTCAAATACCATAAGAATTCCAAAAAAAAAAAATTGTTTTTTTCATTTTAATAATAAAATATCTGACAAACCTATAATACATACCTAATTAAAGTTTTGATTTTAATAGAAATAATAAAATAACAATAGCTGTGTCTTATCGTTTACTGAACAGTGAATAGTGAAACTGGTTAATTATGTTTAAGTATTTTAATTATCATGAAGTGAACCTAAATTTAAGAATGGTCTATGATTTTATCCTACAGTTATTAATGTAATTTATAATAATAATATTTACGCATATCGCAATTTTGTAAATTATAATTAAAATCATTAACTTGTGTTCTTTCTTTATAGCTTAATTATAAATTATAATTAATCTATG